GAAAGGAAACGAATGCGGGAGGCCACATCCAGGAGGTGTGACAGTTAGTAGTGTGGGGTGGGGGGGGAGGGGGGGCGGCCTTGGTGGGAGACGCGCCCCACACGGCGCCTGTGAAGCGGTACAGGAGCAGCGGACCCGTCTCGCTGAGAGACGCCCACTGCACGGGCTCCTTCACGATCGAGCGAGGCACGCTCATTCGCTCGTCGTCGAGCTGCTCGACCTCGGTCGGGGGCGGCGTCAACGGCTCGAACGGCGTCAGGAGCGGCGGCGCCGGTAGCACAGGAAAGGGCAAGAGTGCCGGCAGCAGCAGCCGCAACGAGAACAAGAACTCTGGTGCCGGCGAAGCGTCTAGCCGCGGCGCCGCTTGCCAGGTGAGAAGCCGCGGGAAAAGCATCGAAGAAGAACCCCTCTCTCCTCCCAAGCCGGAGCTCTCGCCCGGCCCGCCCGCCCTCGCCATGTCGAGGCGCTCGGTATCGTTGTCCCCGTCAAGATCGGCGGCCGCGAACAGACCAGCGGCGGGCGGCGGCGGCGGCGGCGGCGGCGGCGGCGGCGGCGGCGGCGGCGGCACCCCGTCGACCGCTCAAAGGCCGTCCGCACGAGGGGCTAGAGTGGACAGGTATCGGAAAGGGTCAGCGGGGGCAGCGGCGGCGGTGGTCGCCCCGAGCAGCGGCGGCGGCACGGCGTCTTCGATCATCACGCCAAGCCCGATGACGACGGCGGCGCCGCCCTCTTCTCGGCCCGGCCGTCCGTCCGCGAGCAAGGCTACCCCGCCGCCGGCGCGAGCCGGCGGCGGCGGCGGCGGCCCCGCGGCGATCAAGATCAAGGTGAAGGCCACCCCGCCGCGGTCCGCGCGCGCCTTCAAGTCGGAGCTGCAGTCCTCCTCGTTCAACAGCCCGGAGCCGACGACGACGGCGTCTGCCGCCTCCGCGCCGGCGGCGGCCCGAAGGGGACGGGGGGCGGTCTCCCTGTCGAAGCTGAAGCAGGGCAGCAGGGTGGTGGTGCCCCCGACGCCGCCGTTGGCGACGAAGCCGGCGTCGACGTCGAGGGGCGTAAAGGCGGAGACGCCGGCGGCGGTGGGGATGGCGGGGTGCGGGGGAGGAAGAGACCCGCTGTCGGTGACGTGCAACTGCAAGAAGTCCAAGTGCCTGAAGCTGTACTGCGAGTGCTTTCAGCGGCAGCAGTACTGCAACGGGTGTAACTGCGTGGAGTGCCTCAACACGGAGCGGACGGAGGACCTCCGGCAGCTGGCGATCCAGGGCACGATCGAGCGGAACCCACAGGCGTTCGTGAGCAAGTTCGAGAGGCGCGCTGGCAAGCGCTCGCACAACGCGGGCTGCAACTGCAAGAAGTCTGCCTGCCTCAAGAAGTACTGCGAGTGCTTCCAGGCCGGCGTGGCGTGCGGCACCAACTGCAAGTGCGTCAACTGCAAGAACTACGAGGGCGCCGCGGGGGGCAGGAAGCGCCGGGCGGTGGAGTCACCGGCGGCGGTGGCGGCGGCGGTGGCGGCGGCGGCGGCGTCTGCGACGCCTCGAACGCCACCGCGCATGTCGCCGAGGGTACGGGGTGCGGTGGTGGCGGCGGCGGCGGCGGACGCCGACAGCGACGACGGCGGCGGCTCCTCGTCCTCGTCCTCCTCGTCGTCGAAGGCGCCGTCCTCGAGCAGCCCGGACCACCACGTCCAGGTGGGCGGGGACGACGACGAAGACGACAAGGACTCGACGCCCGCCCCGCCCCTGGCGGAGGCCCTCAGGGGCGGCCCCCTGTTCTCCTCGAGGGCTCTCGGCAACGGCGCCGGCGGCGGTGGTGGCCTTTCCGGCACCCCTCCCGCGGACGCCGTGGCCGCCGCCGCCGCCGCGTTTGCGGCTCAGAACCAGGCTCGAGTCGCTGCCGCGACGGCGGCGGCGTCGGCGGCGGCGGCGGCGTCGGCTTCGTCGTCACCGTCGGCGTCCGCGGTGGCCGACTGCGCCGTGGCGCGGAGCCTGCTGGACATGGGCGGCACCCCGCCTCTTTAAAGGGACGAGGAGGGCGCGGAGGGCAAGTTCGAGCTCTCTAA